TTCGGCTACGGCCTCTGCCTCTGCTGCGGCTACGACTGCGGCTTCTTGATGGAGAACCTTCATATTTCTTGACCTGCATAAGAGCAAATACACAGAAGAATCACGATTTTCTGATTTCATATGATTCAACTTGAGATGAACCAGTATTCATACTGAAATTAAGGCACAGATAAACACAAACCATCGGAAAAGGAAAGCAAACAAATGCAACATCTATCAGGTAAGGGCATGTTACAAGATTGAAAACCACGTTTATCTTCTTCGACTTTGTTAAAATAGTTGAAGATTTTCTGAAAGATTTTGCTTTCTAGGCACTAAGATCACCCCTGAGACAGCGTTTTGCACATGTGGGTTGTGCTTGCGACAAAGCTTCAGTATGTCTTTTGTGATTTTACTTCCATAAGTTCAGTCGAGGTTTACTTCCTTCAATTCCTTCACGTTCTTCCAAAAACTCAAAAAACTCTATTATGACAAGTTCCATCAAAATGCATTCTCATTTCAAATGGACCAAACGAAAAGTGGGCATTCAGTCAGTGCATTAAAATACAGAGAGAATTGTCACCCGGATATAAGCCCTTGCCCAGGGGTTTCTGAACTCTGTATCGTCAAGTTTCCGAATCTGAAATCACAAGTTTTAAAATTTCAGATAAGAGGCTTCTTATACAGCATGAAGGGCATAGTTATCAGGAATGAACTTACAGCGTATTTCATGTCATCATAATTGGTGTAGTCAACAACACCATAAGTCCCTGATTACACAGACAGTGCACGTTTAAGAACGCAGATCAAATCTTACAAAACAAAATTTTGGTCAAAGTTGAAGCGACAAGAAAGAGAATTCGACCAAACTAAGCCACAGATGAAATGTTACTGCAAGAAAAGTAAAGCAACCAAGCAAAAGTGTAGTAACTAATATGTCATAATTAGGCACTTCGTTCCTTAATCTTTTTCTGGTCATATAGAAAGTGTAAAATTGAAGACTATCATACCATCACTGTCCCGAGACACCTCAGCGAAGCACACATCACCAGCTTTCCGCATATGATCCTGAAATCAATGTGCTAATAAGAAAACAAACACTGGACAGCATAAGAACACAATTATGCCAATCATGAACTGTCATGAGATTCAGACCTTCAAATCTTGCCATGAAGCAGATGATGGAAGCCCACGGACGATGACTGCGAAAAACCATTTAAGAATGTGTAAGGCCACATACAGAAAAGCTGAGTCAAGATGAAGCACAAAACTTTTTCAATAACAATTATACCATATCCTCATAGCACATCATACAAACCTCGGAATTCAGAATGTCGTGAGACACCAAACCGAGCAGATCCACCACCACCACCACCACCACTGCCGCCATAACCACCACGACGATCACTTGAAGGCGGTCCTCGACCACCATGAGCCAGCTCAACCTGCATTCACAGTGGTCAGAAAAATATAAAAAGAACATAACAGAAGGTAGAGAACCTTTTAAGCAGCCAGAAGTTTAAAGATGTGATCCTTCTGTTCAGCACGTTTAGAACAAGCATTCATGCTGTCCAACTTAAAAACGAAAAAAAAAACAGGTAGAGCTGAGATTTCCAAAGAAAAGGCTAACAATTAATGTCCGATTACCCTCAAGCGACATCCGTCAAAGTTATAGCCATCGCGACCTCTAATTGCATCTTCAGCATCCCGAGCATGCTCAAACTACAAACATAGAAAACAGGGTTGATGAAAAGAAACCGTATGTTGTAAGCAAAAGTTTAGATATAAACAAAATAACTAATATACCTCCACAAAGCAATAGCATGGAGGTCGAGGAGGAATCTTCAATTCAATATCCAAAATGCGACCATACTGCAAACGAGAGTATAATTAGTCATACGGAAGATACTCAAACACAATAAATTCATCATGCATACCACTAACGGACACTAACACAACCGTAAATCAATTGAAATATTCACTTGAAATGATATCTAGAGCAGTTGAGATCAAGCAGACAAACAACAAACTCAACAATCATCCTGAATTTTATTTGTCCATATATAAAAAGAGAAAAACATCCAAAAAATAATAAAATCGATATATAAAAAGAACCAACCTTGTAAAAGAGATCTTCAATCTCGCTTTCTCTGATGTCAGAGGGCAGGTTGCCAACATAGATCATCCGAGAAAATCGACCGCTCATTGTTTATAAACGTTAGAACAAACACGTAACTGCAGGTACAAGCAAGTCAAAGGAAATGAATAAATAAAAACTGAAGCCTGTGGCTTTAAACAAAGTAGCTCCAGTCAGCTGGCTTTCCATTAATCCTCAGTGGTTAGCCACGATGATGACAAAAACATGGTAAAGCAAAAATTATATGAAGCGAACCAAGTGATAGCAATCCTCGGTGTGAGAGCAGTGCTTCACAAGCTCCAAAAGCTAATATGCTCCAATGTGCTCCAAAAGCTATTATAAAATTTGAAAACTTTTTTCATCTCCAGATCTTCCCATGAATTTTTGCAGGGGTTTTACTCATCGAAAAGTGAGCAAGAATCGCCAGTAACAAAAAACAATATGAAACAACTCCACCCTGATCTCCCATTCCCTCTCTATATCCCTATGTATGATTGCAAAGCTCATGTTCCAAGCGCTTGTCATCTATCATAAAGAAAGCATAGGTGTCATGACATCATGTACCATCACCATAGACTCATGTGTTTACCTTGTTGACCTCTCTTTCTCAACATAGTATTCCAACATATATGCATATGGGGTCTCCAATGTTAAGTTTTGCCAAAACTACTCCATTCATAAACACTATTACCTCAAGCAATCGACCTCCGGAAAAATACTTGAAATTCTACCTCCCATACATGTTCAAACTAAAACATGGTAATTTCTAACTTTTTAGTATGCCGATCAGATAGTTTTCCAAAAAAAACCAGCGTTTGTGCAAACAAGCAAAATCAACCCCATCAAATCACTGACATTCTGGCAGAGAAAAGATAACAAGGTTGAGAGGAACGAACAACTAAAACCGAGATGCCCGAAGGAACAACAGCAGCTATCTCCTAGAAAAGAAATCTAGCACACCACGACGAA